GGCCGGTTCCCGCCCTGCAGTGTGGGGAGAGCTGCTCAGGCCAGGGCCGGCTCTGCTCGGGCTGCGCCCCTTGCCGTGCAGGCGCCAGGGGCGCGTCGCTAGTGTTGCACGTGGTGACCTTTGCCAGTGTAGTGATCCGAATCGCTTCACAACGTCAGCAACTAATTAATTGCTTCCTATTGTCTTTATTTCCTGTAAGTTACTTGACTGGCCGGCAGTAAGTGTGGGCCTTCACAGTCCGTTGGCATCATTTCCAGTTTAATTTTAAATACTTTTAGGAATAATTTAAATTAAAAAATCCGTTTTCTTTCAAATGGGTTTTCTGAATTCGTCATTTTTCCATGAGGACTTTTTGTGTCTTTGAATTTCTGTCTGTGGTTGTATGAAAGAACCCATGCAAATAGAAGGGGGAAATTGAGTATTAGGGATGTTGAGGGGTGCTTATTTTGTAAATGTGGAACTGCGCTATAGTTCAATGAATACATGTTTACACATGGGGGAGCAGGCAGGAGCTGATGCTCTTGGGGAGCTGGCTTTTAAGCCAACTTCCTGCGAGCGCCATTTCCCACCTGCTCCCTCCATTCCCTGCTCCCGTGATGCTGCCTTTGTGGGAGGCAGCAGTGTGGGGGTGGCAGGTGTCTCCCCATGATTACCAACTCTCACCTGTCCCACTCCCCCGTGTCTGATACAAAGGTAGAGCTGGGGAGGCTGCGCGTAACCGTTAGAATTAACCAAGCCCAGACTCATCAGTTAATCGTGTACATAGCTACACATTCACATGTGGGGTCTGATTCTGGAAAGAACTCTTCTGTATTTTTCCTGTTATATCCAAGAGTTGTGAGTATTAATTTTAATGATAATATGTAACATTTTTAGACTGGAGTTTTTTAAGTATTATGTTTATAATCCTGTCAGAGGTACAGTTGGTATGAAAGACAATAGAACAATCACAATATTATTCTATAATCCTGATTCAAGAATTTCTAACAATCTCTGTGGAAATTTTGTGTGACTCAAGTTTGGACTCGAAAATTCCAATGTGTTTTATATTTCCATCAAGTTTTAGGTTTGGTTGGATGTCTTCTCTTATTTATATTCCCTAATGTGTAGGACATTACGTTTTGATTTGTATTTAGAAACAAAACTTTGAAACTTGAGCCCAGTAATTTAAAATAAACTTTAGATTGTCAAGTGAAAAATTGAGCCCCCATTTTAAAATTTAAAGTGGGTTAGAATTTAGCCAGTCTGGAGAACGGTGGAGGTGGAAATGGAACTCAGTTTTGCCAATAGCTGAATTTACTGTTGGAATAAAGTAATGTACATAATTGGTGCATCTTTGAGTGTATTGACATATTGCTTTGTTCAGATACTTGAACATAAGTGAGACCCTACCAAATTCTTGGTCAATTTTGTGGCCAAGGGGTTTTAATATCTTGTGTGCAAGTCTTTACATCATAAATTTCACATCATAAATGGAGGTCCTGACTCATAGGTCAGCCAGGGTGGGAGGTTTGCAAGCTTATTGTAGATGGTCATGGGATTGCCATCCTTACTTTTGTGGTGCTGCTGGCAGGCTGTTGCCTTCAGAGCTGAACAGCCTGAGAGGGAGGCCTGCTCACCAAGCATCCAGCTTAGAAGATAGGGCTGTGGCCAACCGCAGTGTAGAAGTGAAAGTGGCAGGGTTTGGGGGTGGGGGATGTTAGAATACTATCTGTGTGGTATTCTTAGCAGTCTCCCACCTAAGTGGGGGAGATGACAGTTGGAGCTGCAGCCTCTTTCCTCCACTCTCAGGCAGAAGTGGCTCCATACCGCTGGCTGCCAGGGAGAGTGGCCAAACATGGTGGAGGAGAGACATGAGGAGAGAAGGACAGAGAGCCTTTCCTTCCCTGCCCCCAGCAGGCCAGTTGTGGGGAGGTTGACCCGCTCCTCTGAGATAAGATTTTTGTAACAAGAAATATTACCTCTGGCTTGTCATTTAAATCAGCTTCTCTACCAGATGATTGGAAGATAGCTAACATACCACCAATTTTTAATAAAAGCTCTAGAGTCAGTCCTGGCAATTGCAAGCTGCTAAGCCTAACTTCAGTACCAGGCAAATTGGTTGAAGCTATAAAAGAAAACAGAATTATCAACACTCATAGATGACCACAATTTGTTGAGGAAGAGTCTTTGTAACACATAATCATGCCATACCAATCTATTAGAATTCTTTGAGAGGTCAGTAAACATGGAGACAAAGGTGATCCACAGTATATAGTGTATTGGGATGTTTGGAAAGCCTTTGACAAGGTTCATCATGAAATGCACTTAAAGTTAAGGATTCATGGGCTAAAAAGGAAGGGCCTCTCGTGGATCAGAAACTAGTTAAAAGACCGGAAACAATATGTAAGAATTAATGGTCCAGTTATTCTTGGCGTTTCAAAGGGGCAGCCCCGCATGGAGCCCAGGGTCAGCTCCATGTGGTGCTGCTTTGAAACGCGGCGGTGTAGCCGGACATGAACCCCATTTTGTCCCATCCCCCCCCTCTCGGAGAGCAAGAGAAAGGCAGTCAGCCTTTAATGCCCTGGGAATGCAGGTGTGCTGCCTGTCCCTGACTCTACCATAAACAGAAACCAGACAGTAAATAGGCTAGCTGACGACCCGGGGCCTCCCGCCGCCCTGATGGCTAGTACCAGTAATTGACATGCCTGCACTGTCCCAGGAGAGGAATCTTCGCCCATCACATACCAGAGGTGCCATGCCCATTTTCTGCATTTTCCAGGTGTGAATTATGCTTTGCATCCTTCTTGGGAAACTTGGCATCCAAAGCCATTTTTCCTAATTGGCCACTTGAGACCAGGAAGAAGCCTACATGACCCAAGGGGTATAAAGAGGGGTATAGTACCCCACCCCATTCGAGCTCCAATCATCTATACCTGCTGGCAGGTATTGATTGTCTCCCGTGGTCTGTGGGACGCCCAGCCTCGCCCTACTTCTTCCCGAGGGATTGAGAGAAAGGGTCATAAGGGACAGGTATAGGAAGAGCTTGGGCATTTTGGATCGTGTCACTCCCAGGTGACAGATCCGTTGGGGCATCTCTCAGTCTTCCCTAGACTGCCCGCTGCGAAGGGATCCTGTATCTTAGCAGCTGAAATCTGATCTGTAAACTTCTTGGGGCGCCTGTCAACCTTCTCCAGGTTGCCCGCTGCAAAGGGACTCTGGTCTCAGCAGTTGAAGTCTTGGGTGTATAACACACACACACCCCACTCACTGCCCTGACCGTCGGCTGACAGGCGGCGGCGTTTGCATGGAGCCCGGGGTCAGTTGAGGTTCCAGTGCAGCACGCAGAGTGGCATTTCAAAGCGGCAGCGCAGCATGGAGCCCGGGGTCAGTACTGTATGCTGATCCTGGGGTCTAGGAGGGCCCTTTCACTTTGAAATGAACAATAGCACCTGCTGGGGACTCTTGTACATTTCAAAGCTGGCACCTGTGTGCAGCCCTGAGTCAGAGGGACTTCCCGCTGGCCCTGGGCTTCATGTGGATTTCCACATTCTTCCTTTGAAATGTACAAGAGCCCCAGTGGGGGCTCTTGTTCATTTCAAAGCGGAAGCGCTCTCCTGGAGCCCGGGATCAGCATCCCCACAGTGAGGGCTCTTGTACATTTCAGAGGAGGAATGCGGAATGCCTATCAACATCGACTAGTCATTTACTTGACATTTAACACCCTTACTGTTAATAGCTAGCTGACTCATTGTGGCTAGTTTTCTAAAACATCTCCATGTATAGTGGCAGTCAAAAAATCTTGCAGAATACTCAGAACTATTAGAAAAGGGACAGATCAGTGCTTGGGACTGGTCCTGCCTTGGGCAGGGGGCTTGACCTGATGACCTTCTGAGGTCTCTTCCAGTTCTATGATTCTCAGACTTCAGCAACTCCGGGACCTCCATTTAAACTTAATTTTTTTTTATGGACCTCTGCAAGCCAGCTTCTAACTTTACCTAGGGGTGCTCAATTCCTTCTTCAGCCCCAAATTCCACTCCACCCTTCTTCCCAACGTTCCATCCTCACTCTTTCTGCCCCTCCTCTTCCCTCCCCTGAGCATACACTATTCCTGTTCCTCCTGCTTCCTTCCAGCATCTCCTGCATACCTGGACATGACTTGCAGCCCCTCCACCATGGAGAAGCATGCAGACTCCTGTTTGAGAACCACTGGGCTAGATAATAAGACAGTAAATATCACAATGCCCCTACATAAATCCCTGGTATGCCAAAACCTTGGATACTGCATGCACTTCTGGTTGCCAAATCTCAAGAAAGATACATTAGAAAAGGGAAAAGGTATAGAGAAGGGCAACAAAAATAAATAATGGTATGGAACAGATTTCATATGTGGAGAGATTAAAAAGGCTGAGCCTATTCATCTTTTAAGAGACAATGAGGGACACATAATTAGAGGAGTAGAAATGCCTCTAAATGACATGAAAGGGTAGAAATAGTGGATAAGGGAATGTTATTTATCCAAGAACCAGAAGTCATCCAATGAAACTAATAGGTTGCAGGCTTAAAACAAAAGGAAGTCATTCTTAATACAATACACAGTCAACCGGTGGAACTCATTGGCAGGGCATGTTGTGAAGGCAAAAGCTATATCTAACATCAAAAAAGAATTAAATAAGTTCTTAGAGGCTAGGTCCATCAATAGATATTAGCCAAAATGGTCATGGATGCAACCCCATACTCTGAGTGTCCAGAAGTCTGTGACTGCTAGATGTTGGCACTGTACAATAGGGAATGGATCAATTGATATTTACCCTGTTCTGTATATTCCCTTTAAACCCCCTGTCACCGGCAACTATCAGAATACAAGATACTGAACTAGATAGACCACTGGTCTGACTCACATTGGCCATTCTTATTCTCAACAAGCCAGACAATGGCCCTCGCTGCTTGTTGAAGGGTGAGGCCTTTAGATTTTTCTTTATCAGTTGTTAGAAATAGTGATGGTTTTATTTTTTTTTCCTTAAGGCCTCACAGAACCGAGCTGTATCATGAAGTCCCACCAACATGCTGGCCTATTGTATATTCTCCAGACTACAACATCACATTTATGGGATTGGAGAAGCTACATCCATTTGATGCAGGGAAATGGGGAAAAGTAATCAATTTCTTAAAAGGTAAAAGAATGACAAGGTTATGCTCATTATCCAACTTGTGTTTAAGTGGTGGTAAGCTGATAATTGTGCAAAGAAAATGGAACAGAAAAAGTAATTGCAGGCAGGATCTATAAGCATCAACTATACTTACTGCTAATAGAGATAATAGCTGCTCTACATTACTATCTTTTACTTTCTGGGCAAACCATGCTTTTTTTCTTTTTAAATGTATCCCCTTTATAATAATTGAATGTCTGTGAATCCACAAATTTAAACCTCAGTAATTTTAATTTAGACTTAACATTTCGTATGTAAATTGAGGTCTATGCACTTTACATTATTGAGAATTATGTTTTAAAAATGGAGAATTTAAAAGTGGAGCCACTTGGACATTAAAGAAACCACTGTGGTTTTCTTTAAATCATGGGTTTGCTCCACCACATTTTCTTTCCCACAAATATTTTGCAGAGGACTTTCCACTTCCATTTAGGGAAGCAAATTCCCATTTAAGTGATTAACTGGCTAAACATATTGTTTAACTGGTTAATTGATTGAAAGAGAGGGTTGGTGGTGAGCGGGGGAGTGCTCTGCCCCTTGTCTGCAGCTGGGCTGGAGTGTCCCCTGCCACAGAGTGTCCCCTGGCTGGTCCAGAGCAGCCCCTGCCTGGGGCAGGCCAAGGTGCACTGCAGGCAGGGGCTGCTCTGGCATTCCATCTGGAGCAGCCCCTGTCTGCAGTGGGCCCTCAGTCATCACTGGTTAACGTTAACGGGTAAGCCTCTTCCATGAAGGGTGAAGCTTACTGGATAAACATTCACATCCCTGCTCCCATTTTGGCTGCATTTCTATTCTGCCATGTATGTAAAGTGAAACTCACATAATGGTTGTCAGTTTCACACTGTCATTGGGTTTGAAAAACAGCAGGAAAAATTCTCACTTCTGGGCAAAATGGTGAGCAACAGCAAAACTAGGGGAGCTACATGTGTAAAAACTCATGAAGGCAGCAATGCATTGGCAGGTTATTTTCAAATCGTAACAGCTGGAAACATCTTTAATGAAAGATTTACTCTTGCAGAAATTGGTTGCTTAGCATGAAAAATTCCAGTCACTGCTGAAAGCTCCCTACTTCTCACTAATAGTTGATCAAGTGCATTTTTAAAACTCGTACCAAAGAACTACACAAACTATATAGAGTAGAGAAGATCCCGAATTCATGGCAATAATACATCACTAACTATATGAAGTATTCTGTTGTTTTAAGGAGAAATTAACTTAAAATTTCTGAGAATCTTAAACAAATTTGTGTGTTTTCACATTGCCTCTCCTGTGAAGCTAGTATGCTGAATCTAACTGTGGGACTCTTAACAGGGGACTCTTCTTCTTGTGCTGATTCAGATGAAAAAGTGCAAGGCCATATGCTTTTAGCATACAAAGCATCCTTATGGTACTCAGTAAATTATTTATTCTCAGAGCAGGTGCAATACTTGCATTTTTTTAATCTTGTACTACCGCATCTGTTCCATCCACAGTTGTTAGATTTCAGTCACCATACCCCTTTAATTTTAGTCTCTCTGAGATTATCATAAAGAAGGACAAATAAATGCCTTTTGACATGTTTATTCTAAGCGACTGCCTTTTGACATCTAGTATAAAATGCTTGTCAGACACAAATGAGCCCTATTCGCAACAGACCACTTTGCTAGCTGACTTTATTTGAATTGTAACGATGTAATGAACATTTTGGCATTTTATGTACTACTGTGTTCATTGTGGTTACAAACTGATTACTAAATGTTTTCTGTCACCACCTGATGAGAGGGGAAGCTAAATTAATAAAAGGTTACCTTTGAATACTGGAGGCAGATCCTGTTTTGCAGTTCCAATTACAACTTTATTTTAAGGCTAACCCTGAAACTAAAACTGCACGATGGCTCCAATTCTGCTGAAATGAAGATTAGTGTGCTGAGGGGCACTAATATTGCTGTTTACACAGATGAAAAGTTCTATGGAGAAATACTGTTGGGAATTTAAATTTAAGAAGTTAGGATAAAAGCTTGTAAAATTTCAGCACCTTTTCACATGAGGATAGAGCTTACGTAGCCAGGCCAAAAATACCTGTGCTTCCATCATGCCCAAGCCAGTGGTCCAACCAGAATCATGACTATCTCATTGATGTTGCCACATAGTCATTCCTCTGTCAATAAACTATCTCTGCCTCTGCACACAAATTCATGCGTATACACGCTAAGTACATTCCTTTAATGAATTCTGGGATCATTCCCAGTTCCCTTCTGCAGTATTTGAATCTTGATTTGTTCTCCTCCATCTCCCAATTAATGAACATTGGGTTCGTCTTTGTTGGGCTCCTCTGAGGTTCCTGTTCTTTAAGATGCGCACACATTTCTGACAACTCTGCTCTTCACTCTTCAGTTCTTAAGGAAAAACTGATGGCCCCAGCCACTTTGCTTCCTTCTCCATTTTGTAAAAGAGAAGGGGCACTCCTGACTGGAAAACCACTAGAGGTATTTTGGCTCAGGAAAGAAATTGTTGTGTCTCTGGTCCCATTCATGTAGGCAACATTTCTATATGAGCTGAGTGAATGGTTTTTGAAGCCTTGGTCAATAGGAACACAGATGTTCTTCCAGTATGTCCACTTATGTCCCTGGTTATGTAAAAGTATCATATGTCCATGTACAGACATCTTGGGGTGATACTTAGGAGAACAATAGTTTGTATTGGGAATACGTAATTTTATGTAAGTTGCCAGTGGGTAACCAAATATGGAGAGCAAGCTACGACTGCTTCCAGGCTTTTGCAAATTAAATATCAATAGGGGTTTGACAGTGTTAAATGTAGTAATTAAGCCTAAATGTTCTCACTTCTTATCAGAACTTCTCCCTAAGTAATTATTATTCTTTGAATTTTGGCATTTCCTGCTCTGATGATTTAGTGAATTAAATGTCAGTGCCTCTGCCTATCTTTCCTTTCCGGTTAAAATAAAGGAATTAACAGTTTGAAATTATAAAGTATGAGTATTTTTTATTTATAAACAGCTATTGTTATATTATTTATATATGATTAATAAGTTGCATAGACTATGTGTTTGAGCATTTCTGAGCACTTTGAATAAAAAAATCCAGTTCCAGTGTAGTTCAAAATAGGAGTTCCAACACCTACAAGCCAGAATCTAAAACTGTAGGGAGAAAAATTAGAATGTTAAACAATGTTGAGTAACAATTTTCTTCCTCCTTTTTTTTCTGCTGTTTCAGAAGAAAAACTAATTGCAGACGACTTGATTGTACAGGCACGAGAAGCTACTGAAGATGATTTGTTGGTTGTCCACACAAGACGCTACTTGAATAAATTAAAGGTGCTGTACCCACTAGTTATCTTTCAAATACACTTTTTAGAGTTTATTTCAAGCAGTAGATCTCCTGCCACTTGTATTATGCTGCTCCCCTCTTTAGCTCAGAATCTGTTATTAATGAACCAGCAAATTCTAGTAACCGTTTACCAGAACTATATTCTGGATTTTCCTTCTAACTTTTGAATTTGTTTTCAAAGTTACTGTTTCAAAGTCAGACATGTATTTGTGATATTGGACATCATTTAAAATAATTGTTGATATTGGAACTGGAAATCAGTGCAGTTTACAAACTATCAGTAATCTTGATATTATGTTGGATACAGATTAGGACTGCACCTGTACCTTGAGATGCAGGGTAACTGCAAAGTGGTGCCACTGATCTTACAATATTTTCCTTTTTTCTTAGCAGTAAATGGCAGCATACATGAGATCTAAACAGAATCTAGACTAGAATACGTCAGTTCTTTATTTGGAGAAAAAACCATGATTATATAT